TCATGGTATTCCTCTTATCTGGAATACTTTGTTTTTATATTTTATCCAAGCACAGTGGATTCTTCAAAAGCTAATTCAAGGCTGAGTTTGATGTCTAATTTGCAGGGCATATCTGTAATCCCAATTATTTGGAAGGTGGAGGTAGGAAGATCTTAGGAAGTCTTAGGCCATCCTGAACAAAAATGTGAAAAACAAACCAAAAAGCATTATGGGCATTGCTCAAGTGGTCAAGCATGAGGCCTTGAATTCAATCCTCAATACTTGCCAAAAGCAACATAAAAGCTAATTCAAAACCAGTTTCCAGCTGGGTACTGGTGGCTTACACCTGTACTCCTAGCTACTCAAGAGGCTGAGATCAGAGGCTCCTGGTTCAAAGCCAGCCCAGGCAGGGAAGTCCATGAGACTCATCTCCCAGTTAACCACCAGAAAACTGGAAGTGGAGCTCAAAGTGGTAAAGCTCTCGCCTTGAGCAAAACAGCTCAGGGACAGTGCCCAGGCCCTAAGTTTCAAGCTTCATGATGGGCAAAAATTTTAAAAATCAAATCCAAGGTATTTACCTGACTACTTTGTCTTTATTTTCCTTTCCTCTGATGCACAGCAGTTTTTGAAGTTCAGACCGTACCCCTCAGTACGGAAGTACCAGTAATACTGGTGTTCTGTATGTTGAGCTGATGATACAGTGCTCATGTTAGACTGGTCATGTTTTGTCCTGTAGCTATTTCTGCATTTGAAGTTCAGCCGGTGTCCACCAAGACTCATGAAGGTGGAGTTGCTCGATTTGCCTGCAAGATTTCGTCCAACCCTCCTGCAGCTATCACGTGGGAGTTTAACCGCACGGCTCTACCTGTAGCTACAGACAGGTGAGTGTGGAGTTCGCCTCAAGGTGACACAGGAGTGATGAAGACTTCATCTGTGGCTGGAGCAGGATAAGGATGGGGGAGGGATGTACGGGGTGATCACTTCCCAAGACATTTCAAAGTTAGCAAAGAATTACCTCCATCTCTGACACAGGGGGTTAGGGGGGTGGAGGGGGGCTGGCAGCGTGGTTGTTTGTATGGCTTAGAATTCCAGTAGATCGCCTTTCTGCAGCCACATTCCAACATGGGCCCCTGTGAGTCTATAATTTACAGCCCAAAGCTTTATGAAATAAATTAGTCATGGAGGGGAGGGGAGAGGGGGGGGATATGTTCATCATGGGGCTTGAACTCAGGGCCTGAATGCTTTCCCTGAGCTCTTTTTGCTCTAGGTTAGCACTCTACCATTTTGAACCACAGCCCCACTTCCTGTTTTTAAGTGGTTAATTGGAGATGAGAGGCTCATGAACTTTCCCTGCCCAGGCTGGCATTGAACTGAGATTCATTCTCACAGCTCAGCCTCCTGAGTAGCTAGGATTACAGGCTTGAGCCACTGGCTCCCAGCTAATAAGTCTAAATGATGTGGAAAAAGTCAGGAGTAAGAAAATAAATCATAATAAGGTCTGGGCCTTGAGTTAGCTAAGTTTCAGCTAGATCAAAGGAATTCAAAGCTCTGTAAGGGGCTGGGAAGGTGGCTCAGTGGTAGAGTGCTTGCTTAGCATGCATGAGGCCCTGGGTTCGATTCCTCAGCACCACATAAGCAAAAAGAAAAAAGCTGGAAGTGGCGCTGTGGCTCCACTGGTAGAGTGCTAGCCTTGAGCTGAAGAGCTGAGGGACAGCGCCCAGGCCCAGAGTTCAGGCCCCACGACTGGACCAAAAAAATAAATAAATAAAAGCTCTGTAAAATTAGTGTAATAAAGTTCATGTTCCCCATTCTATAGAGTTATTCATATGTCAGAGATCTTCAGTGACCCAAATGTAAGCAAGAAAATCCAATTAATATTTGAATCTAGGCACTGGTGGCTCATGCCTGTAATCTTAGCTACTCAGGAAGCTAAAATTCAAAGATGACAGTTTGAAGCCAGCCTGGGCAGGAGAGCCTGTGAGAATCTTAATCTCCAATCAACTACTCAGAAAAAGCCAGAAGTTGTACTGTGGCTCAAGTGATAGAGCACTAGCCTTGAGCACAAAGACTGACAGCGCCCAGGCCTTTCCTTCCCCCCCACCCAACAAAGTGAATGTGTGATTCTGTTGTTTGAATTGAACCCCAGATCTGGGGCATGCGAAGCAAACACTGTCAGTGAGGTACACCCCAGTCCAAGATAATAAGATGTTGACATAGAGAAATCTTGGAAGCATTTCTTTCTGGCTGGAGGCGTGGCTCAAGCGATAGAGAGCCAGCCTAGCAAGCGTGAGGGCCAAGTACCACCCCCAAGAATCTGAACAGCTCAGAGAAGCAGGTGTTCTCTTTTAGGATTGCCAAAGGGATGGAGCGTACTCATTCCCGTCGTAGGCTATGTTAAATAAAATGTGTAATTATATTTCTTTGTGAAACAGGATAACGGCCCTGCCGACAGGTGTGCTCCAGATCTATGATGTGGGCCACATGGATGCCGGGAGTTACCGCTGCGTCGCCTCCACGGTAGCTCACCGACGGAAGAGTATGGAGGCCTCCCTCACAGTCGTCCCAGGTACCACACTCAAGGCTCTTGCCTTTTCAATCTACTTACTGTTTGCTCATGTGGTAGCCAGGAACCGCACCCAGAGCCTCATGTATGTGAGGCAAGAACTCTTCCACTAAGCCACATTCCCAGACTGCCTTTTTCCTTTTTTGTGTGTATAACTAGTATTTAGGCTCAAACTTGGGGGCGCTTGCTCTCACTTAGCTTTGTTTACTCGAGGCTATTACCTGAGCTATAACTCCACTTTCAGCTTTTCACTCAAAGTCTCATGGACCTGTCTGCTCTGGCTGGCTTTGAACTGGGTCCTCAGGTCTCAGCCTTCTAAGTAGCCGGGATTATAGGTATGAGTCACCGGCACTTTATTCTGTTTTTATGAATTTTATTCACCTGTCTATTGCTTTTTCTCCTGTGTTTATAATAGTATTCCATAGCAAGTAACGTCTTCATATAATTCATATCATTGCGATCCATTTGGAAAATGGTCACCTTAATCTTTTAATTCTCCTTCCCCAGACTAACTTGTTTTCTGCTATCTCAACTTGTTTAAGAAAAATAATTCGCTGTACAAATACTTCACCTTTGTTTGGAAAAACTATAAAATACAGAAAGTACATTAAAAAAAAAAAAACACCACAGCATGGCCGGTGCCATTGGCTCACGCCTGTAATCCTAACTGCTCAGGAGGCTGAGATCTGAGGATCACAGTTCAAAGCCAGCCCGGGCAGGAAAATCCATGAGACTCTTTACTCTGAAACTTCTGGTGACCATTGAATTGCACTCTGCAGTAGAGGGATTGTATCATGGATGAGTTATAGATCATAGGAGTGTATAGAATTCTGACACATTTCTTATATCTGAAAAGAAAAGTATATCAGAATTGGTGTTGTAACATATTTTACTTATATCTTACTCATACTTGCCTGTGTTCTGTATCTTCTTCCTCAAAGCAAAGGAGTCTAAATCCTTCCTCACGCCAACCATTGTAGCCGGCCCGCAGAATGCAACAGTGTCTCTCCACCACACGGTTGTTTTAGAGTGCGTGGCTACAGGAAATCCCAAGCCAATCATTTCTTGGAGTCGCCTTGGTATGTGTTGGGGTGGGGGGTGATGGTGTGGGGAAGGGAAGTCTCCTGCCTCTGCTTTGTATATTCTAATAAAATATTACTTTACAAGTCAGAGACATTTTTGGCACTAGTAAATGGTGGTGTCTGTTTGGCAATTCCATGTGAAGAGAAAAGGTTCTTTGTTGATGTTGTTGTTTTTGTTTTCTGTGTTGATCCTGGGGCTTGAACTCAGGGCCTGGTTCTTTGCGTTCAAGGCTGGTGCTCTACCATTTTGAGCCACAGCTCTGCTTCTGGCTTTTTGGTGATTAGTTCAAGAGAAGAGTCCCATGGAAGCTGGGCACTGGTGGCTCACACCTGTAATCCTAACTACTCAGGAGGTTCAGATCTGAGGATTGTGGTTTGAAGCCAGCCCAGGCAGGAAACTTCGTGAGTCTCTTATCGCCAATAAGCTTCTCAGAAAAAGCCGGAAGTGGCGCTGTGGCTCTAGTACTAGAGTGCTCGCCTTGAGCACAGAGAGACTCAGGGACAGCACGTGAGGTGAAGCAGAGTTCAAGCCCCAGGACCTGCAAAAAAATACAAAAGAGTCTCATGGACTGTCCTGTCCAGGCTGGCTTCATACCATGATCCTCAGAGCTCAGCCTCCTGAAAAGCTAGAATGATAAGCACCTGGGTGAGAATAGATTTTACTCTGAAGATGTTTGTACTTTTTATGATTGGTGTCTTGTTGGATAGTATGAACTTGAGTTGTCATTTCAGATGATGCATTCACACCATTTTAATTGAAGTCTTCTCTTTGCCACAGATCACCAGTCCATTGACGTCTTTAACACCCGGGTACTAGGAAATGGTAACCTCATGATATCTGATGTCAGACTGCACCATGCTGGAGTGTACATTTGTCGGGCCACTACCCCTGGCACGCGGAACTTTACGGTTGCCATGGCAACCCTAACGGTGTTAGGTATGCTTCCTTCGGTTCTGTCCTGACGAGAATATTGACATTTACACATTTGGCCTTTTCTCTCTCTTAGAGGTTATATGTATGGTTCCTGAGTTTTGCAGCATTGATGTGGATAATAAGTCTTGTGATCCAACAGTTAATGTTAGGGAAAAGATGAAGTCCTTGGGTAAAAATATAGTTACAGAGTTATTCTCCCTGTTTGCCTACCGAGCATTTTATTGCTTATCCAAGCTTCCCTTTGTTCTTCCTCACACAAGTATCTGCACCCATTTGCCAGTGGGAAGCTTTAATCTGTTGATTGTATGCATTCACTCACAAATATATACCTGGGCTATGGGCTGGGAAGGTGGCTTAGTGGAGAGTGCTTGCCTATGCATGAAGCCCTGGTTTTGATTCCTCAGTACCACATACACAGAAAAGGCTGGAGGTGGAGATGTGGCTCAAGTGCTAGAGTGCTATTCTTGAGCGACAGTGCCCAGGCCCTGAGTTCAAGCCCCAAGACTGGCCAAAAAATAAAAATAAACACATACACCACACACACACACACACACTGGCCAAAAAATAAAAATAAACACACACACACACACACACACACCCTGGGCTTTAATTGGCGAGTGTGGGTACACACACACCCCCTCTCTGGGGTTTAATTGGCGAGTGTGGGTACCATACTTGTAGTGTCATTTCTGTCCATGGTGTCAGCAGGGGAAGTGGACATAAACTGAGCAATGCAGAGGAACAGCTACCCAGAGAGATGCAGGGCTATAGACAGGAGGCTCCGGATATCAGACAGCTTCAGAAACGGAGCAGGTTTCTTCCACTGACTTCATTCTGATTCGTTCCTATTAAGGACACGGAATATGTTTTCCCCCTCCCCTAAAAATAGCTCCTCCTTCATTTGTGGAATGGCCAGAGAGTTTAACGAGACCTCGAGCTGGCACTGCTCGATTTGTGTGCCAGGCAGAAGGAATCCCCTCGCCTAAGATGTCCTGGTTGAAAAACGGAAGGAAGATCCATTCCAATGGGAGAATTAAAATGTACAACAGGTGGGCCATGTCATTTTGTGACTATTGTATGTTTCTTTTAAAATTTGGAATGATTATAATGCTTAAGAATGAAAACTAAACTTTAAGTGGAATAAACTTGAGATTCCCAACGTCGTAGCGTCCCATAAATCCTTTTTCATCACGGGAGTAGTAGAACACAGCAGTAGTAGATCATACCCAAAGGAATGCTGGGAAATTCCCTAATCTGCGGTTCTCTCCTGGTGGGCCTCTAGCTGCGCTACTACAATCAAACATAGCGACTCTTTGGACTCTCAGTTCCTTCTTCTATCAGATGAGAAACTTAGAATTAAACGATTTATGCTATAGAATTATTCCATATCAGAAGTGGTGCAGTGGCTCAGGTGGGAGAGCGTTAGTCTTGAGCTGAAGAGCTCAGGGACAGCATTCAGGCCCAGAGTTCAAGCCCTATGACTGAAAAAACAAAAAAACAAAAAACAAGAATTATACCATATCGTTCAAACTTAGTGACTTTGAAGCCATACATTGGTGTAATCTAGCTACTCAGCAGTGTGAGATAGAAGATAGAGGTTGGAAGCTGGCCTGTGCAGAAAAGTCTGTGGAACTCCTAGCTCTGAGATAGGCAGCAAAAAGCTGGACTGGATACCTAACTCAAGTGGTAGCATGCCAGTCAACAAACAAGCTGAGCAAGCATGAGGTGTTGAGTTCAGATTCCTGTACCTGTAGGAAACAAAACAAAATTCAAAAAACAACAACAAAAACCAGATGATGCTGACAGTGTAATTTTATTAGTGTAAACATAAATTCTTAAACTATTCTCGCTTATATTAAATGAAACTTTGGGAATTTTTGTTGACCCAGGTTTTTTTTTTTTTTTTTT